CAAATTAACATAATCTTCAGTATATATAGAGAATTAAGCAAAAGTTCACTGAACTTGCTTGTTTACTCATCGCATTTCCTGTTTTAAATATTAAAATGTTACATTCTTTTAAGTAGATCATAAATGTTATTTATATAAAAACAAAACAAGGGATACATAATAAAACATAGACATTTCTTATTCCTGTATAATACATCAATCTTTAAAACATTATTTATACACGTACTTATTGTGGAGTTTCCACGGGTCCCTAATAACATCTAAAGTGGGATTGTTGTATTACCTATATATATAATATATATATATATATATATATAATATATATTATAGATATATATATATATATGTGTAGTCAAAACTATTTTTAGCTATTTTTCACGATCACTTTCTAGCAGTATTTAATAGATCGAGTTGAATCTTTTTTTTACAGTAGAGTATAGTTACCCCTAAATGTATTTCATTGTTTTTATTCTATTGTGATTCGTTGAAGTGGAAAAAATTCAATTCACAAAAAACTACAAAACCATTTTCCCCAGAGTCAGATTTATAACACCACGAAAAATGCGAGCGTCATTTAAAAGTAGAAAAGAAAAATTCTGATAAAATGAGGCCCTTTTTGGGTATAGTTTGGTTCATTTTTAGCCGAATAAAGGAAATATCATTTGCATTTCTATGGTACTCATTTACTCACTCCGAAACCAACGCAAACTAAATTATCGCAGTCAGTGCGAGTATCAAGGCCCTCACCACGCTGGTTACTGTACTACGACCATGACCTTCAAAGAGAAGTCTATCCGGAGGATCCTGAGGACTACAAGAGTCAATGTTTCCAGGCGTTATTCATAAATACCTGACCTCTAAATGAGACCATGAGGCCTTCTGGCCGAAGACATGGTGGACGCCCAATCACTGGACTTTAAACCCTTGGTCTTCTGAGCCTGTCTGCGCTGGAGTCCGTGGTGAATGCCAGGAAGCACTCCAACAGCGACGACCTCAGGAAAAAGATGAAAGACGTAAGGAACATGTTCTGAACGCCAAGCGCATCTGCAACTCTGTCCTTCCCCGATTAGAGTTTGTAGTGATTGCAGAGGGTGACTATTTGATATATCATTTATGTTGATTAATTATGTAAAACATACTTCATATTTCATGAACATTTTTTCTAATTTTCCATATTTGATTTATGTTTTTTTAAATAACACAAAAATATTATCACAAAAGTTTGATTACTGCCCATGTAATATAAATATTTTTCAGAAAACAAAGCAACAAATATGGCTATTCGAACTTCAAAGCGTTTTGCCTTGCTGATAAATTGGCCTAAGGGTCCAATGGGCATTGAGTTATGTATATATCTAATGAAATGCTATGAATAAGTTGGTTTTTGCCAGATAAGTAAGTTATATAATAGTTTCAATGAATGATAATGATTAATATTCATTTTCCCCTTTTGTTTGACATAAAACCGAGAGTTGCGTAGAAAAAAAAGAAAAACAATTTACGCCTACGAAGAGATCTATATCTCCACATATTTTCGGGATGAAAACAATAAATATAATATAAAAAGGGAAAAAAAATTCTTGTAAGTAGTAAATTGGTAGGTGTCTTATAAACCCAATTTTCACATTCTCTCACATATACATAATTCTTTAACGCGCAAGTTTACAAACAAACATAAGAAACTTTAAGTAATATAACATTTCAGATTTTGCAGAAAGGAATATTTATTAAAAATATTGAATGACAATTCTTGAAAAATTGGGAAAAATTGAAGTAATAATAATACATATATTTAATTTTAGTAGAATATCGAAAAATCTGGATTTATGTGTTTATTGACAAATTAATTACACAAAAAGGGACGAGAAATAGGTAATTATGACAATTATATTTTTGGAAATGGCATTCATTTTTATTAGAAGATCAGTTTCATTGTAGTTATGTTGATTCACTAGTATATGGGTTGTTCTTAACTTTTTTGATATAAAATATTATATAAATATAATAATTTACATGAACTGAAGTGAGGAATACGAGCTCATATCTTCTTTTTTGTTGCACGAAATTATGGGCATTAGGATATTTTTTCAATCTGAACATGAAAAAAAAGGATAACAATATCAGTTCTAGTTCTTTTTGACAAGAAACAATTGTAGAAACATCAAATATGAAACTTTGGACATACATTTTTAATTATATATAAATTTTTAGAGGATAATATGTAACAATATTCTGGCGTTACGTAATACATATTATTATAATGATGAAAAACTATGAAGCTCTGTCCAACAGAGTCTGTCTTTCAAGGAAAGAGAAGGCAATTCGAGGGAGATGTCGAGAGATGAGACTACCTTTAAAATATTATTTGTTTTATTTCAAACTTTTAGTAATTATATTAATTCTTTTGTTAATATGTCCATTACAAGCTGATACATTATTTAGTTCCGGTGAGGTGGGTTTATTGTAGGAGCTAAATAAACCAACAAGAATATGTGTATACATTTTTACTCAGTAGGAGTAGACTATAAATTTCAGCCATAATTGAACCAAATTTAGTTAAGGAGTTCGTAGAAGTAAATTTGCTTTCATGGGATTATAATATAAATAAAAGTATTGAACTTTACAGCAATACACAAGACGCATTTGGAACCCTAGCGCCCCAATTATATCGCCAAATCAATAATGGACCTTGAATAACTTATTTTAAATAATAGATCGTTGATATTTAAATAAAAATATGGTACTAACCACTTCAATTATAACTCAATGTTGTCTTATCCATATATTGCATAGTGCAAATTAACATTTATTTGATATTTGTTTCATCTACAAACCCCACACTCCTAAACAAGGCCCTAAGCATCCAAGACCCTTATATTATGTTTAATCTAAACCAAAGACCACTCACTTAATTGCGGATAAAAGACACGTCCGACAAAACATTTAATCCCTCAGATGATATTTGCCAATCACCCTTATACTTCTCCCAAGATTTACATTCTTGATCGCATATTTTATAATGGTAAATGCATTCTTAGTGAGTTTCTGCAAAGAAAACAAGTTTATTTACTTGAGTGTTAATCCCCAAGTAATCTGTATTTTAATATTATTTTTTAGTCGGGTTCTTAGATGATATCATGGCAAATATATTTGTGGTGAATCAGTGAAAAATAAATTCATTATAGGTGGTTACATATATAAATATAATATATTATATATATAAATTTGTTGGTGTCCCCAAGTTATGTCAAGATCGATATAAAGATATTCTTCAAATAAACAACACCTTTATGTTTTAAAAAACCACGATCAAAGGTTGTCAAACTTCACCGTGAAGGATTGAAACAACTTATCCAAGTCTACACAGGACCATTTTCTCTCCCACCTAAGTAAATGGAAAAACACAAGTGCAACCTGTGATCTTTGCAAGGAAGAGCCACAGACTGCAGACCACCTGATTAACAGATGCCCTGCTCTGTCCCTCGAAAGCCATAAAGTGTCTCAAGAAGAAGACCGCGACATCCAATTCAAAAAAAAATTAAATGTAAAAAATGACAACTAATATTGTAAATAATTTCCGTATTTAAGAAGGAATCATTTTGCTGTTGTAACACAGATACCCCATTGTGTGTTTGTGTTCTTTACCTTAGTGTCTATTGTTTGTATGTACTATTGTAATCGGCAATAAATTTCTAGCTAACTAACTATATATATATATATGGTAATTCTCAGTCAAAAAGGAAATTCATAACTTAGCTTGCAAATATTGCTCAATTTGGTATGTCCTTTATTATATCATCTTAAGTGTCCAAACAATTACTTCAAAAGTCTATATACTATCACTTTATTACGTAAGATTGTTGATTGAGGAAAATGGGTACTTAAATATTGTCATGTCAAAATTTTGCGAATTAATCATTCATTCATTTATACGACAAGGGGGCCCTCAAGTAAGAGGAACTCATGCCATTAATAAGTTGATAACTATCAACCATAGATAATAGTGGGTTTTATTATAAATGCAATGGAGGGTTGTCTTTGCATCTGTATTATTATCCTGGCAATGCACTGATAAGATAAGTTTCTTGGTTGCATGTTCTTCGCTCACGATATAAAAATGAAGTGTTAGTGTACAATGTATTTACTCTAATCAACTGTATATATTATTTACTTTTTTTCAAAACATTTCTATATGCATGAAAGAGAGTTCATTATTAAAGCCGTATAGAAAGATAATTAGCTTCGTATGTTAATGCCATAATGGCTGATCATGATGATACGTTGTATAATTATGATGCGATTTATTCCATCGTTATTTTTTAATCAAAATAAATATAGTACATAATTTTGAAGCATTTTAGATTTTTTAATAGTTGTTTTTATTAACTGTTTGAAATTTAAGCGGTAGGATGTTTGTCTACAGTATTATAACATGAGATAACTTGCATTCCTTATCATTTAAAATTGTTGCATTAGTTAAAGTTTGAACAGGGGTCGGCAACCCAAACTGTTGAAAGAGCCATAACGGACAAACTAATTGAATTCCTTATAATATTACCTTCATACGGGCACATTTTGGGTCCTATATATTTTCCTATCCCATCTTCTTCCCATTTTCTAACGTTTTTAGAAAAACTCCAGGGAGCCACAAAGGTAGCTCTAAGAGCCGCATGAGGCTCTAGAGCCGCGGGTTGCCGACTCCCGATTTAGAAGAAGAAATGAAATATCTTTATTATAAACTTTGTTGTATTAAGTTTAGATACGAATCAATTTTTTGATCTTTTCATTTTCTTTATTAACTTGTCGACTCTGTAGCACCTTTATTTTATTTCTTACAAAACGATCCTTATATTTATACATTATCATTTTATATATTTTAAATATTGCAAGTTTTTAGTACCTTGATTTGAACACGTGCACGGAATATCATAACTATACATGAGTTCAAACCAAATTATATAAAAATATAATTATTTAAGACGTTCACAATTTGGGATACGGGTTCCATGGTGTAATGGTTAGTACTCTGACTTTGAATCCAGCGATCCGAGTTCAAATCTCGGGGGAGCTTAATGTTTTACACGGAGACCTTTTTAGATACATGATGCATAAAGATAAAGGTTTTTTTGTTAAGTGTAAAAAGATTTTACATGTTTACATTCAAATATGAAGTGTGTTATTTAAAGTATTTTTCAAACATTGTAAAAGTAAATAAACGATTATATTCACCATAGTATGTTTTCCAAGTACAAAAGAGGAATATCTAACACATTTATGTTCTAAATAATTTGTTAAATGGAGGTATAATATGTTTTATAAAAGTATATTGAACTTTACGAGTTTTTTTCTTTTTGGGAAGTTAAAAAACGTGATACATGTAATAAAGCAAACTCAGATACTTTGATATAAACTTAGAAGCACCAAAACTCACTAACCTAAAAATATAGTTCCTCATATCTCAACTTTTTCAAATAAACGTATGTAATTTTAAATACTTCGACATTGTAACCGTGAAAAGTCGTCTATTTGAACTAGATAACAAATTGGTGTATTTAGGTATCCAAAATCAGGTACATTTTCTTGCATAAACACCATTTTGAAGGAATTATGAAAAAAATAAAAGTTTATATTGTTCTTATTATTTCCCCAACAATATTCCGTATTATAAATATTATTCCTTCTGAATCACTCCCCTCCACTTCAATATTATTTTGAAGGAAGTATTGCAAATAATTGTATGGCGGAAAAAAGTAATAAAGCCTTTAATTTAAAGGGCAAATAATTTCATTAACGATGTTGACGTTTCCATTAGGACCTTGATGAGAAGTGATTACTTTTCTTGATGGCATTTCCTTTTTTATATTATCACGCTTTAAAAAACAATGCATCTTCACCTAATATCACGTAAAAAATAAAAAATGAGTTGTTGTTCTCAAATAAGTGTGAAATGAAAAGAGAAACTATCATGTTTTTTAATTTATTAGAAGGTAATAAAAATATGCACTCAATAAAAGTATTGTAAAGACATGTAGAACAACAATGTGAAAACCTTTACTTTAAACTTAGTTTCTTTTTATATTATAACTCATTATATAAAAGGTATTAGTGTGACTTAAGATTATAGATTCAATTTAACTTTAAAAATATTTTATTATTTTTTTAATATAATTTTTCTCTTCAATAAAGGTTTGCAAAAGTTAAAACTAGCATTTCAGCAAATGCTTATGATGATGTACAATAAACCAAGACGAAATGCTTGTCTCAAACGTTGCCAAAATGTTGCTGTTTATTGAAATAAACAAATTTAGCAAATGTCTGTTCTTTCTTAAGTAAATATTATAAAACTTCGTCAATCTTAACATGTCTGCTATTATTGAATATATATAAATTCTTGAGAAAGGCATGAAAGTGAAAAAAATAAACAAAATATTGACATTTAAAAACAAGGAAATGCGTCACCTGAAAACATTTTCTTTTCAGATGAGTGAGAGAAAAAAAATCCATGTCTGCGAATCCTTGCTCATACCCCTGATGTTTATGAACATTTGTCTTTTATGAGTATCAGCAAAAAAAAAATTGATTTTTCTAAATCCATTAATTATAAAGTATGTATCTTAGACAAAAATATCTTGTTTATGGATATCAGTCCTTAAACTACTATAGAATTATACTATAACATTATAAAAATATCAGTAATAAAATACATTCATTTAATGTACTTGGTAAGATTCTTACCTTCTATAAAAGGGCATCTTTTTCTGTAGCGTGATTCATACAAGAAAGAAGTGGAAAATAAAATAAAAACAGTTAACATCATGAAAAACATATTATTTATTTGTCCTCTTAAGATAATGTTATAATTGCATGCTTATGATATTTGTAGATTTGTTCCTCTGCCATTGTACTAATTTTAAATTATAATATCTATTGAGGCATTTTAAACAATTATGTTGCCATTTGTTGAGAGCTGTTAGAAAACAAAAAATCGCTTACGTAGGCTATTGTGGTACGAAGAATCAATTCAGAGAGAAGAATGTCACCCTTTAGACCACTAAAGGCATTTGCCCAGGGGTCTTTATCAATGACATGAACGGATTCCTTGAATGAACCCTTCCTATATTACCTATTTATTTTTAGTTCAATGGGAAAAGGGATCATGGGATATTGAATGTGTGTTTCATCATATATATGCCGATACATGGATTATCACTCTGACTATAAGACGTAATATATAATAAAATAGAGTTTCAAATAAAAACGTTATGTTAATTGGTGAGTTTTTTGAGGACTGTCCGGATTTGTATCCCTAGATAATCCTTTTCATTCTTTGAATAGACTCCTCTATAGCATCTATTTATATTAATTTAGTAAAGCAACTGCTCCAACTCAGGCAAAAAAAGAATACTTCATTTATTTTAAAAAATCAATCGATAAAAATATCTTCATTTTGTTTGATGTTAAAAAAATAGAAACGCGGGATACCAACATCAAGATTATTGATGAGCTTGCAAGAAGTATTATCTGTCAATAATTTACACTCTCCAAGGGTACATTATTGATTATGTGATGGAACCATTTTATGACAGCTCTCGCAAACTCGCCAATGAACATCATGTTTATGTTGGTAGCCCTGATTTCTTTCTCCATGTTTGTCTCCTATCTCTGTTAATCCGTTTTTCTACGATCATTTAGTTTCTAATGACGCAGCTTCGAGGATATCGTTTGATATCTCAATTTTTTGTGTTTTGTAGAACGTGAGGGCTTGAAGTAAAGTAAAATTAATAGTTAAAAAAAGCTATATTATGGTACATATATCACTTCTCTCGCGGTTGTGAGGAGTGTTAACATCTACTTAAGAAGCCATCTTAAATCATACTAATTGTTTCTTTTCATGGTCCCCGAATCCATGTTCTTTGAATAGAACTCCTCCGATCCCATCTAGTAATATTTTTTTTAAGTAGCTGTTCATAACACAGGGAGAAAATGTTTACTATTTTTGCTCTTATCCATCGGTAAATATCAACACTATGACTATCGGATGTAATACAAATAAAGGAAACAGTGTTTACGTTTTTATTGATGAGTTTGTGATAACAACCTTTTTGTCATCTATAGAAATGGCATTTAACGCAGAATGCTAACCTGAAACAAGGAGAAAATGCAGTTCTCAAAGCTAAATAAGACATATACGATACCTTGAGACTAAAGGCATAGTTAGTAGCTCTAATTATGGGTTGGGAAACGACGGTGGAGTCGCATACATCACAGAGGACATGATAGGCAAGGCCTTGGAGCTCAACAAATGACTTCTTTGCCTCCTAATGACTCAATTTATCAAAGTACATAGACATACCCTTTCCACCCATGTAATGCTACGATGTAGGTAAGAGACTTGTTTTCCCTACTACGCATATGTAATAGATACTTATAGGTATATCTGGGCATTAAGGTATGCTCTGTACAAGGATGAAAAAAAAACTTAAATTAAATAGTTTGTGGATTATAATGGCGATTTTTAGTTCACTCTTTGGGGATGATTGGGTCAATGGTAATCCATAATTACTTAACCGAAAAAATAAGTTGAAATTAACGTTGCAAAAAGTTATCGTCCCCATAGTATATATATATATATATATATAGTCCACGCATTAAATTACACACTTTTGGTTTATTGCTCGTAGCTGTCGCTAGATGGTAGATTGGAGGCTTGCTAGACTTTCTTTTTGTTCCCTCAGTAGTAGAGAACAGCTGGTAGCGTCAGCAATGGATTCTGATGATTTTAATCCGCCCGAACACTGGAAACGCGTGACCGCGGTTATTATGATTCGCGTCTGATTCAAGGATACATCATGGTGACGGCGGCATGGTCAAGAACATCAGAGCTGAGCTGGAGGATAACAACAACGTCTATTAGGATGTAGTTACATGACGTTCGGCATCACCCGCTCCGAGGGCGACGTCATGCCACCCCACTTCTTCAAGGAGAGCCTGAGACTTAACTTAAAGTTGCGCTGATGAAGGACAGTGGTCCCTTGGATGAAAAGGATGGTCTCTGGAAGGCCTTACGTCTTTCAGCAGAACTCAGCGGCCTGCCACACGTCCAGAAGTGGCTGTCGGAGAACCTGGACGACCATCCGTCTTGTTCAACATGTTGCCCAGGGATCAGGTCGTGCTCGCCTGCGCCAGGTTTAAACCTAGGATGGAGAAATGGAAGTCGCCTACTACGAGTAGAATGGAAGCCAAAATCAAGACAAACAAGATACTCTTAATTTTTTTGATTTTTTAAAGAATTAAAGATTTTATGATTTGTTAAAGTTTTTTGAGAATGTGTCAAATTTAGCGCACGGAATCTGTATAATACTTATAAATATATATTAGGGGGTAGTATTGAAACCAAGTATTAAGATATCAAACGTAGACCCAACCCCCTCTTCCCTGCGAAATTGCATCATTAGAAACAAAATTCAGTTTCTTCTAGGGTTCCTTTGTGGTTTAAAGAAGAGAAGATAATATGAAGGTACTCATGTTGATGTTTTAAGTTATTCTTTAACTACGTTTATTTTTCACATTTTAATTTTCATACAGTAAATTTGTCGTTGAAGTTTATGATATAAAATTGAATTATATATTCTTTCTTTGTTTTAATTGTAGGGAGTTTTTTCTTGACTCACGATCGACTGGATGGGAACCTTGAACTAGAAGATGTTATGTTGGTTTGATGACTTCAATGTTAAAAAATATTTAAAAAATGGTATTTGGGTAGGATAAATTTATAAATAAATATAGTTAATGAAGAATTGTATAATTATCAAGAATTATATAAGTCAGGTACGAAAGATATATGATTTATGAGAAATGAATCAATATGTTTATATAGTGTATATAAATATAATTAAGAATTATAATATCGGGTCTACAAATATTTGTAAAATATGCAGCTCATTTAATATTGCAATGAATGCTTCCGGCACTAAAAGAATAGAAATAAAGCATTCTTTGGAATGTTCCAAATATTTGTTTGAGCCACCAACAAACTTTACAAAAATATAATGTTTCAAAGAAACATGTGTT